CAAATAAAGAAGCCTCCCAGTTAGCAAATTTACATGACTCAGATACAAGTTTAATGCTTGTGAGTTCTCAGGCAGACGTTGTGAGAGACGGAGAATCTACACTTTTTACTGGAAACTCAGATACAGTTTCTGTAACTGTGAGTTCTACTACAGAGCAGCCACAGACAGCACACAGTGTAGTTACACCTAAAATGAGCCATCTTATGACACCTGTGGTCCCGCAACTCAGATGCCTTTTGTACCTGTTTGCTCACATTTTGCTGAGAATTTATGTACAGGTTTTCCTAGAGAGCCGACAGCTGTCCCCTAGTATGTACTATACCTTGCAGTCTCCAGTACGGTTCTCTAGCTGACCCCTCCATTACACAGACAGCAAGTCCCAATATATAGATTCTGAAGTCTCATCACCAGCACTTCCTTGAGTTCATGTACAGGTACAAATTATTACAATCCCTTGTAAGCTCATATGCAGTTCCTTATACTGCGAGTTTTCAAGGTCCTGATTATTGTCATCAAAACCAGAGCGCACATATGTTTACCCCATTTCCCACAATTACAACATCAGCTCACAGCATTTGCATGAGAACTCATTTACCTCTAAGTTTGTGTACAGGTTCTGTGCCTGTAAGTTCTTGTACAGGTAATGTGCCTGTAAGCTCTTGTACATGTACAGGTTCTGTACCTGTGAGTTTGTGTACAGGTTCTGTACCTGTGAGGCCGAATCAGACCTTCTCTGCTCCCATAAGAAGTGCACGAGATATATCAAGGACAGAAAGCGAGCAAACTGCACTTACCCAGCTCACGGAGATGGTAGAGCACTTACAAGAGAAAATTAAACAGCTCTCTGAACAAGATCACCACCAAAGGACCAACCCTGACAACAGACAATCAGATACATGTAGCACGTCTCACGAATGTTGGAGTAGCGACAAAGAAACATCACAAGAGTCTGACTTTGTGTACCGGAAAAAGGCTAAGCATCGCAATGTAAAGATTCCTCCATACACTGGGAAAGAAGACTGGTCTGTCTGGTTCTGTCGTTTTGAGGAAGTTGCAGATAGATACCACTGGACAACAGATGACAAACTGGACCAATTGCTGCCTAGACTACATGAAGATGCTGAATATCGTTTGCTCTCTTGTTTTCTTTGTGACCTAGGGAAAGGTTGCCAGTTTTGTCCAGAGTAATTTAAGGTGTGTACTAGTTCAGTATCTTTGTGACTGAAGTACATAATACATAATGTTAGGTTAGGCTAAATTAATTATTACTAGTAATTGTACTAGTTTTATTTATAATTACTAGTTGTGAACTAGTTATTTTTATCTTCTTTAGCCCAGTTTAGGAGTTAGGAAATATTTCTGCTGCGTGCTAGTAGTTGAACTAGTAGCGGGAATATTTATTTGTAAATTAATTATGTCATTTATAGAGAGCCTTTACGTTTTATTTTGGTCGGGGGAATTTCTACTTAAATCATAAATTTACTGGAAATAGTGCCAGTTGCCCAGTTCTATATCAGTAGTTGTACTGATTTTGGTCTTAGATCTATGTCCCGAGGGTTGAGACTTGTGTGAATTTCAAACATTGTTATTTATTTTCGCTGTTCATGTATTACTGAATAAAATTATAAAACTTTACACCGAAGTTTTTGTTCTCAACACAAGGCAGGCGTTCCGAAGCGTTACAATTTTGGCATCCACGGCGGGATGCCAAAAATTGTAACGCTTCGGAACGCCTGCCTTGTGTTGAGAACAAAAACTCCGATGTAAAGTTTTATAATTTTATTCAGTAATTCATAAACAGCGAAAATAAATAACAGTTTGAAATTCACAAGTCTCAACCCTCGGGACATAGATCTAAGACCAAAATCAGTACAACTACTGATATAGGACTGGGCAACTGGCACTATTTCCAGTAATTTATGATTTAAGTAAATTCCCCCGACCAAAATAAAACGTAAAGGCTCTCTATAAATGACATAATTAATTTACAAATAAATATTCCCTCTACTAGTACAACTACTAGCACGCTGCAGAAATATTTCCTAACTCCTAAACTGGGCTAAAGAAGATAAAAAAAATAACTAGTTCACAACTAGTAATTATAAATAAAACTAGTACAATTACTAGTAATATGAATTTAGCCTAACCTAACATTACGTATTTAATATGTACTTCAGTCACTTAGATACTGAAATAGTACACACCTTAAATTACTCTGGACAAAACTGGCAACCTTTCTCTAGGTCACAAAGAAAACGAGAGAGCAAACAATATTCAGCATCTGGGTATTTATAGAATTAACAAAACCCGCAATAATTCATAACCAATCATAACTAATAATTCCATCCCGTAAATAATAATCAGCCAATCAAATGTAATCGTCGTCCCGTAACGAAATCTCACTCTCGTACATCGTATGTAAAATTATTACAATACGTAAATAAATTAAATAAATTCATAAAACATAAAATTACACTTTTAAAAGCTCATTTAACACTGTTTAACATTTAATTTAAAAGAATTTACAATCAAATCTTCCGCCGAAATAACTCCAGTAAAAATAGATCACCGTGAAGCATCATGGGAAAATACACAAGTAAACAAAGTATGGCGGCGGCAGAAGTTTCAGTGAAACATGTGTACTCGAAGACCATAAAACATCGATCACACAAGAAATAAGGTAACTTTAAGATAATCCTGAATTACAGCACAACTTTATAATTACGTATGTACAATTAAGCCAACAAAAAGCGTGTAATTAAATAACAAGACAAAATCTGACATTCAACACATCGAAACACAAGAAAAATGGCATAGATCTTCACTACACTTAAGCAGTTGTCAACCAACATTTAAGACATAACTCTCGCTGGACATTTCAACATTCCATACAAGAATTGATGAATGAATTTAAAGTATGCATGAAAGTGCTTTAGATAAATGCCAAGATAAAAAATGAGATTCAAGAAAAATGGGGGAGGGATCGTTACATTTTGCGAACTAGTAGCGGGAATATTTATTTGTAAATTAATTATAAGTTATTTATAGAGAGCCTTTACGTTTTATTTTGGTCGGGGGAATTTCTACTTAAATCATAAATTTACTGGAAATAGTGCCAGTTGCCCAGTTCTATATCAGTAGTTGTACTGATTTTGGTCTTAGATCTATGTCCCGAGGGTTGAGACTTGTGTGAATTTCAAACATTGTTATTTATTTTCGCTGTTCATGTATTACTGAATAAAATTATAAAACTTTACACCGAAGTTTTTGTTCTCAGCACAAGGCAGGCGTTCCGAAGCGTTACAATACCTAACCATGACAAGCACAACCATTTCAAGGAAAGGTCCTGTTTTGAAATTTACAAGGTAAAAATTGTTTCAATGCACCCTTTACAGTATTAATAAACAAATCATTGCCTAAATCTGTCATGTGAACACCATCTGAGCGGAATAAATTTCTTTGATTTGCAGTTATATCTGGGTACTTAATAGCTGCTCCATTTAATTTACTGTAGACGTTCTTTTTTCCACGGGGTCATAATTCCGCGGAATTTCAATTTCTGTTTAATCTGCGTGTAGAAAATTAAGCGGATTTCTTAGACTGACTCTATATGCCTTACATTTATGTTAAGTACGCTTGGACGAATTTCCGCGGAAAGTTTGTGACCGCGTACATAGCGTAAATTAATACCACGCGGAAAAAAGTACTTCTACAGTATTTAATACAAAAGATGCTACTGAACTATTGATTCTCCGCCTACATTTTTCTCCTTCAGTGTTAGCTACAACATTTGACCAGTTTCTACTTTGCAAGATATGAGACCAAATAATACTGCAATTTGGTAATCGTTCTTTTACCTTTGCTAAATTAGCCTTTATCATCATTTGTATACCTCTTAAAGTGTTATGCTGTTGTCCAATGTTGTTCCCCCCACAGTGAATAATAATGATATCTGGAGTTCTGTTACTAACTAATAAAAAGTCTAATGTTGGGTTTAATTGCTCCCATACCATTCCACGAATTCCATGCCACAATATTTTCGTTTGGCCTAATCCCAGGTGTGACTGATTAGATTTGACTGCATAGCTATGTGCCCAATGTACAATTGAAGATCCTATAATCCAAATGACCCCTGCAGAAAATCAATGCATCAATTTCAATCAAACATATTGTGTAATTTCTATCAATAACCTTAACACTTGCACCTAAGTATTTAAAGGACGAATGTATGATTTATATGCTGTTGATTTCCATCTACCCTTTTGTTGAATTTCACTTTCAGACAACCCTTCCAGATACAAGTGAGTAGCACCCCCAATGCGAAATGAGTGGGTTTTGTAACTCGAAGTTTTGATATCTAGAAATTTTAAGGATTTATGTAACATGCTAGAAAACTGAAACTGTGTCAATGGCTTTGAGTTAAAGTGGGCAAAATACACATCCCTATCAATTTTGCTAGACAGCAGGGAAAACTCCTTCAAAAAATTCACCAGCAGTACTGATTGTGACGTGTTAGGCACCCAAACTGAAGCCCCAGAGCCTAATTGGTCCGTTTTTGAACTTTTTATAAACACTGATATTCCCCTGTCTAAAATCTGAATATCATCCCTTCTTAAATCTATAACTTCACTTACTCTCAACAATGCAAAGAATGCCAAGGCAAAAGATGACTGAAATAATACTGCTTCATATGTTGAGAAAGCCAAATGCGGTACTGCACTCAATAATCTGTGCAACAATGCCAATGTGATTGGTCGACGCATATCACAAGACAAAGACGACTTTTTGTACCCTGCCATCAATTTCTTCACCAAAAAAGACTCTAACGGATTTTCCCAACCATTTACATTAATTAGAAAGCTTATCCCTGACATGTAGCATTTGACTGTAGAAAAGGAACATCCCTGCTCAGACATATAAGCTATGAAATTTAAAATATGGTCAAGAGGTGGAGGCCAGGTTTGCTGAAATTCACAATTGACTCTAAAATTATAAAAACTCTATAGTCCTTGTTTATAAACTTTACCAGTATTTTCTGATATGTTATCTTGCAAAAGTTTGTTTATAGTTTCTCCATAATTTCCCCAAATTGCATTGGTACCGAAGAGGGAAATCGATCTGCCAAAGGGGCTAGCTGCCTGAACCTGGACCACTGAAATCGAGAAATTGCATCAGCCACATTATTATTCACACCCATTATATGTTGCGCTTTAATTTGAATATTAAATTGAAGAGTTTTCAGAACTAAGAAACGTAGCAACACCATGACTCTTTTGTTTTTTGACGTTTTTTGATTGATAATCTGCACTAGAGCCATATTGTCCATACATGAAGCAACAATTTATATAATCCTTTGGTTTTTCCAATATCAAATGTTTAGAAGACCAGAATGTTATTAAAATTTTGAATATTTTTCATACATTACCCAATACTATACCCAATACTATGGGAACAAGCTCCAGTAATGTTATATCCCTAATTATGTCTGAAGACCAGTATGTAGGCCAGGATAAACAAGACCAATGATTTCCAAATACTACCCCACAGCCATATGCTCCTGAACTATCTGTAAAAAATTCTAAAAATTCACTGTCATGCCAGTGTTGAGAAGGAAATGGCGTAGTACCATTAAAGTTGAGCAAAAATTGAACCCACATCTGCAAATCCATTCTAATTTCATTTGTTATTCTAATGAAATGAAATGATTTTTTAACTCCCTCCATTGCCCCATAAATCCTACGAGAAAAAGCCCTTCCTGCTGGTAATGCCTTAACTACAAAGGCCAATGCTCCTACGAGGGATTGCAACTGCTTGAGCGTTACCTTTTTACAACTTAGAACATTTTGGATCTTTGATAACAATTCATTTATTTTGTCCTCTGGAATAAAAATCGTTTGAGTTATAGTGTCAATTCCTAAGCCCAAAAAACAAATACGAGTAGTTGGACCCTCAGTTTTCTCTACAGCTAATGGAACCTCCAGCCCTTGACAGAGTTCTTGAAAACAACACATTAATATTTGACATTCATCTGTAGATTTCTCTCCAACAAATAAAAAATCATCTAAATAGTGAACTATACTCTCAATATTTGATCTATGCTGCACTTCCCAATGAAGGAAAGTTGAAAACTTTTCAAACAATGAGCAAGATATTGAACAGCCCATGGGCAAACATTTGTCTGTGTAGTACGAGTCTGCAATTTTGAAACATAATAAACAAAAATCTTGAGGACATATAGGTAACAACCTAAATGCATTTGAAACATCCATTTTTGCCATTAATGCCCCCTCACCTTTGGCCGAAATGACTTTTAATGCATCATCGAAAGTTGAATAATTGACCGAACACAACTCTGAATCTATATAATCATTCACACTATCCCCTATAGGATAAGATAAATTGGTGATCATGCGCCAACCCCCTTGTTTCTTTGGAAGAATACCTATGGGGTTACAACGTAAATAAGAAATGGGAGGGTAAGGAAAAGGGCCTAACACTCTCCCAAGCTCTATTTCTTTGTCTATCTTGACCTGAATCTCATTTACAAATTGTTGGGTAGATAGCATGTTTTTATATTCTATCCGTTTTCTATCTCCAAGGTAATTTAATTTAAAACCAAATTTAAAACCATTAGCCAAACATTTGGCATTCTCACGGTCTGGGTAATTTTGTAACAACTGTTCTAAAAGTGATACATTTATAGGTGATCTGCCCAAATCCCATAGCTGGAGCTGAAGGTCATTTGCCACTTGTAAACTAATGTTTTTGTCCCTTCTGGAACTGGATTCCACTGTTCCTGTAATAATTATTGTTAGTATTGTGATTTACTGAAGTTGTTTGAAACTGGCTACCTTTGATACAAGTTTTCAAAGGATGTAGGCCGTTGCATTTAAGACATTGGTGTAAATAATTACACATGTATTTATTACACACCCCTTGAAAATTAAAACTATAGCATTTTAAACGAGAAGGTGCTAAGCTAGTTTGAGGATTTCTCGACTGATTCCCACTTACTTTATTACTTGGTGGTTGCATATAAACTAACCAGAGTTCTGCATCCACAGAGGCCCAACTGATTGCGGAGTTGAATGACTTTTTTAATCGAAACTGAATGTCATATTCTTGCCAACCCTGATACATATTATCTGCCCCCCTCTTTATCGTTGCCATATACCTGAACAAAGACAATGCTTCAGTAGGATGCTTCACTAAATAAATTGATCCAAAAATCAAAAAATCATCCACCCACTGAGATATGTTCACAATTTTTTGTTCTTTAATCTTGGGTTTAAGTTGGAATGTACCATCCTCAAAAACTATTTGATTTGTAGGTGTAGACGTGGGGTCATGAAATAGTAGTTTGTTGAGATGAACAAATTCATTGTTATATATTTTTTCTTTCAAACTTTGTGATACATGAACACCTAAGGGGGAAGCTGTACTTATAAATGGTAAAGGCAAAGCCAATGAATCAACTGTGTGTATTGTACCTGGGTCAGTTGTGCTCCCAGTCCCCTGTTCGTTAACCACGTCCTGCTGACTTGGCTGGGTCTGTAAGGCTTGTTGCATCATGCTGATAACAGGAATACCGGTGGTTAAAGTAGAAACCTGAGGTAGCGTCGCCGTCGCCGAAACGGTTGACGTAGCTGTAGTGCCTTGAGGCCTAGTCCGTGTAATGGCCGCCTGGGTTCGTGGTGTGGTCCTAACCGCAGTGGAGATAGCTGCAGCAGCTTGACCGCTAGGACATGCATATGGACTCTTGGACTTCGATTTTCTGGGAGCTCGCAACATCTTTCCAGTTTATTTTATCGATGCCAATGATGGATGTCGATTTAAACAAAATTTGACGGACACAAAAATTTCGTGTGTTCTGCTCTGAGGGTTGATGAAGAAAAAGGAAGAGTTGAAAGCGCATGCTAACCAATAATCCGAGATTCCTTGATTTACTTATAAGACTCTAACCCCTGCTTTTATATTGTGACTTGTGCAGAAAAATTCATAAGAATTTTGTTTTACAGATAAAGTTGAAACAAAATCTCTTTAATTTTAATTTTTCTTTTTTAAAAAGTTAGGGACAGATTGGATGATCTTAAATAAAAAAAATCAGTGCTGCAATGCATCCCATTGTAATTGCTTGACGTCTACTGTCTACTTAAAACATATTTGGTCTATCTTTGTTACAATGAAGCGCATTGAAGTGGTAAAATTTTCCGTTCGAATGGAACGTTTTGAGCTATCTTTAGAGTGTTTATTGTCATCTTATGACACGCCCATTTCTTTAGAAATGGATAAAACAGTCAAGTTTTTTCTTCAAATACCTGTAGAACAGGTTTTCTATAAATAAAATAGCCAATCAAATTGAGGATCTAAATAAACACCGAGTAAACACGTGTTCGACCGAAACATGTGTTGTGGTAACTTTAATAGACAGGATAAGTTCAAAAATATGTACATATTCGTTAAAATTTGTGTTTTACAGAAGCGGGGAGCCTCTATCTCCCTCTTCTAATTTTTTTAAATTTTTAAAATTCGCTTGTCGCGAAAAATGGGGTGTCCTAAAACTATACGACGAATATTTCTTTCTCGTTTCTAAAAATATGGGCGTGTCATTATGTTATAATTGACGTTCAAAACATGACTCAGAACTTTTCATCCAAACGGAAAATTTTACCACTTCAATGCGCTTCATTGTATGTTAAACATTGAAATAAATAGGAATTTTCCTGTCTGACTGAGGAATGAACATCTTGAGAGTCGATCAAACAAAGCGCCCATTCTGGAACAATCAATAGAGCTTTCAGCACTACATGCTTAGCCATCTAGCAGTACTTGTTTTGTGAGAGAAACTCACATTACGTGTACATGCAAGACCATACTTAACATGTGTGAGTAACTCTCTTGTCTTATATAGTATACAAGCTTTTTATCCGTTAATATTGCCTAAACATTTGCATAATCGTTTTATCTACGTTGTTCAAAGGGGCATAATTTGATTATCGAACTTTGTAAGAAACTGACAGTATGCAAATTTTGCAACAAACTTTCAGCCGCAAGAGGAAATTGTATATAAAGGGTGACTTTGGAGGGTGGATGGTGGGGAATGTTTCTAAAGGGCATTAACTAATTGTGCTTGTTAAAATACAAGTATAACTTACTGCACCATTACTGCACTCTACTGCAACACAGTGCAACACATTGTAGTGCCTAGCAAATCATCCAATCAAAATAAACCTAGTCAGTTTGTTGTAATTGAACTAAAAATATGATTAAACACTTTTTTTTCTTTAAATAGTGTTTTGAAAAAAAAAAAGAAACAGACTGAATGAACTATTTTATTCACATTCTACTAATATATGACTGTTCTCTTTCATATAAATCTCAATTAACAATCCAGTAATTACATCGAAAGAATTGTGTCGGAGGACTTTTTCGACAAAGTTACGCATTGATAATATTTTATCAAAGCACTAGTTTGTATATGCGCATTATACATCCTGAAGAAATGATCAATCCTCTTTGACTGATAAGGGTTTTATTTTATTTGTGAGAGAATAAATATATCTTTTCTTTATGAGAATTTTACGACACTTTATTGCAATGCATTTACACTGCAAACTTTAGTTTTTCTTAATATTGCGTTTTGAAATAAAAGTTGAATGGATTCTATTTAATTCAAGTTAAATTAATAAAAATCTGGATGGATTTCAATTAAATCCAATTTACTAAATATAAAATTGTTCTCTTTCATATGATTCTGATTTAACAATCCAGTAATTATGACAAAAGACATGTTGACAGAGTTACGTATTGATTTTTTTCCTTTTTGAAATCAAATGACCAGTTAGCGTTTACGTAAAATATACTGCATGCGCACTCTTCTGCAAAACAATGCTACCTATACCCATTGTAGTGCCTGGCAAATTATCCAATCAAAATAAAGTTAGTTGCTTTTTTGTAATTGAATTAAAAATCTAATTCTTTAAATTAGTGTTTTGAAAAAAAAAGTTTTAAGGAAAAGACAGACTGCATGAAATAATTTATTTATCTTTTAATTGATATATGACTGCATGTATTCTTTCATACAAATTTCAATTAACAGTCTCCAGCACTTAATTATGTCGGGGGACTCTTTCGACA